TGAGCCAAATGTAAAATTTGCCACATTAAATAGTGACAGCAGATCAAACAGATGGCCTGGAGACTTTTTCAGATTTTTTATTTTTTTTGTCTGTAGAGCAACTCCAATAACACTGAAGTAAATGTATAAAACTGCTACTGGAAGATGAGCAGGTGTGTGGAGTCTCACTCCATAAGGCTCAAGGCCAAGGAGAAATAAAATACACCTACACATAAATGCTGGCACAGGCATGTACACATGCATTTATAGGCAAGTAACCACAATAAATATCCTTAAAGAGAGCGACTACAGCATTTGTACCACTGAAGGTCTCTGTGTGGCATATTTTGCATCTGAAGTGAAACTTCAGACCTGTTCTAGTCAGACTGTATGACAACTCAAATGGAATAACAAGCTGCTGCCAAAAATCCTGAAAAAACAAATATAACATCTATTTTTTTTAAATAATATATCAGTGTAACTTGTAATTTCTCATAAATGTGACTTAAGCCATAATTGTGAGATAAAATAGCAATTGTAACATTGTAAGATTTTTCAGGTCACAGTTACGCGAAATGCAGTTGTTATTGTGAATTGCAAATTACAAGAAATAAAGTTGCAATTATAAGAAAAGTCACTGACTATGAGAGCCACTCAAAACAAATACAGCTAAACTGCTGTTTACAACTAGACAAAAGCTTTGTTTCTGACCTCAGAAAAGCCAACATTCTATGGCATAATTATCATATAGTGTTATAGTTAAGCTGTCAGCTTCTTGTAGACATATGAATTATGAAAACCGTGATGTAAAATGTCTTGAACATTACTTTTACAAGGAGCTACTGCTGCCACCAAAGACCAAAAGTATGGGCACGCAAGAGAGAAAGTGGAAAAGGAAAATAAAGAGGGACAGAGAGGAAGGTAGAGAAATAGAGAGACAGAGTGTGGCATCGAGGGGACGGCGGCCGTATGTTTGACATTGGAAATGGTTTAGAACAGAAGGAACTGGCAATTTCTCTCTCTAATTAAAGGCTTTGGCTCACATGACCATGTACAGGTGCACCAACACCAGACTGCAGAGCTGGGAAGAAAGGCCTCCTTGTGTGTGGTGAAGCCATGCTCGCTCAGCGGGAGTTTCCACACACACACATACTCACAGAGGATGCAGCCAAGGAGTGCAAACATTCACATTCATTACCTTCACTACAATTTCAAGCCCTTATTTCAAGTGACAGAAAAAACTATGCAAAGTAGTTGTTATTTTACAAGTTTTTTCCTTCTCTTTTCCTGTTCTGCTCATGAACTCTCTACTCTCCAAACAACTTCATTGGTTACTCGTGTCAATTTTTGAGCAACTCCAGTGGTCAGATTACTAAGAACCCATTTTTATATTCTTATGGAACTCCAGGAATTGCCAGATCTGACTGAAGGAAAAAAAATCACATTGGCAGCAAATTGACTGAACATTACTGTTTTGAAAGACAAAATTGCACTTTTTCCATTTACAATGACTAGATAATATATGGTTAAACTATTGAATCAAGACCTTAACCTTTTTTATTAAGATTTATACCATTTGGCTTTAGTTTTTCAATGAAGTATTTTTTATTTTATTTGCATGAAATACAAATTGTGTGTGGGTATTTTAGCCCTTTGATGCCTCAATTAATACTTTTATAAAATATAAATGATCATAAAATGTAATTGCTTTAAAATATGATATAAAAATATTTAATATAATATTTAAATATAATATTGTATTTTATAATATTGTACTATATATTGCTATATATTATGATTCATTTGTATAATAATACATAAATATAATTAAATAAAATATATAAAACAATTGTACAATTTTTATGAAAAAAAAACATCCTTACAATAGAAGACAGTGCTAAATATTCCAGAGTTACTCAGTGCTTCACTTTCACTATATAGTCAAACACAATGACTATATAAAGAGAACGGTCATAAAGAATTATGGGTAAGGGTCAAAGGTGATCGCCCACTGTGGTTTGGATATAGCAACACACATGAATAGCATTTCTCACCAGCATCAGCGGGTTAATGAGGACAAATATTAGAGAACATCAGAGGCCTTTAGATTTACACACCAAATCAATCGGGAGAGGTAAATAATTTGGCTTAACAGATCCCACTTTTAGTAATAGTTAATCAATGTTACAATAAGACATACTAGGATCTGTTAACTAGGGGTGTCCTCGACTAAGGATTTTCATAGTGGAATCGGAATTTTCGAATCTTGCCGATATTTGACTGATAGTCGAATCATATGTTTTGGGGGCGGGGCAAAATACATTACCAAGAGTTAAGTCAGACATTCGACAGCCATAATTACTGACGCTAACACACAGGGAAAATGTGTAATGGACGCCTCGCAGATACAATCGGGTAAATAATGTTTTATGTTTTGATTAATAGATAGTTAAAATTAAACATCAGCGAAACCCTAAGAATTCACAACATTTTTTAGGTTATGTATATGACAGTAGTTATTAATGTTCTGCATTTCTGTTTTGAGCTGCGCGCGCTTAAGATGTTATTTTAGTCGCATTACTGAAGTGCAGTATAGACATGTAAACACCTTAATCACATTATTACCTTCGTGTAGGACTTTTCGCTGCATTTTGCGACAGGATACAGACACGGCAGTGGTCAACCGTTTGACGGCAAATAAAAGAGCTTCAACACCGCCATCGTCGGTATGCACGTACAAATAATTAACTGCACTTGAAGCTTTCATAAAATTAAAAATTAAACACCCAAAACGATACATGGCATCATCACGAA